TAAGATCAATTTTAAGTTTACTTCAAGATTTTTATGAAAAAGGTCAAAGGTATGGTATACATTAAAAGTTTTGTAAGTATTACTATTTTTTTAAAGAAGGAACTCACAAGTACAGTGTCTTGATATGTAAGTAACTTTTTCGTTTTTACTTGTTCAAAGTCTAGTTTTTTGAATGAATTCAAATTTATTTCAGAACTAAATTTTTTACAGAACAAAAAAAATTATAAAGAACAAACTAAGACAAAAAGTAATTAATTTGTTATCGATTAAAAACTTCTTGACATCTAGTATATTCAATGTTTTATCGATTCTCCAAATCATTTTGTATCAATATATATTTAGGATTCTTACATTTTGATACCAATACGTATAGTTGACCATGAGAAAACAAAGGTCTTATTTTGTGAAATATTAATTTATTAAGACTTTAACCTTGCAATTTATTGACTGTTGTGGAAAAAGTTAGAACTATTAAAGACTGTTTTCAGTAAATAATAAACGGTAAATATGGATTATTACTTGTATTTAATGTCATTCTCAAAATAACAACTTTATTACCAGATTTTTTACCAGTTAGTATTTCTGCTTCTAAATTTCATTTAAATAATTTTGTTATACGTTGTCTAGTGCCATTGCACAATCCATTGATAATACCCAAGCTTTTTATTAACATAAAAATAGCATTTACTTTCAAATTTATAACATGTGGTGGTAATCTTCCATCGATACTTTTTAGAGTTTCTATAAAAAAATTTATGTTCATATTTTCATCAGTGCAATCACTACCCTTATATTTCAGATAATCTGTACTGTAATAAGTATGTTCTTTACCTTTAATATAATTAAAAGTTTTATTATTTAAAATGTACCAAAGTTTGTTACGAGTTGTTAAAATTACTTTGTTTATGAAGCTATTAATGCCATCTCCATAAAATTGTTTACAAACATCATCAGTTTTTCATCTCTGTGGAACTTCGAAAGACTTTATTACTTTATTTTTTAAGTCTCTTAACAATAATCAAAATTTCAAATCTGTACACCGCATATTACTTTTTAATTTAATGATTTTGAAGTGTTTCTATAGCAATAAGTACTTTATATTTTAATTAATTATAAAACTTTTACACCCATGCTATATTACTGAAAGTATTTGTCTAAAATTACATCCTAAGATAAATGATTTTTCACCAAATGGAATGTTATTATAACATAAATCTGTTACAGTTTTATTGCCTACTAAGTTTCACGAAAACGCATTATAAAACTTTTTTTCTGTATGTACAAATTATTAATTTCATAAGTATTATAATAATGACAATAATAATAATAATAATTATTATTATTGTTAGTAATTGCAATGCCGACAATAATTATGACATACATACAGTCAGGAAATTAAAATATGTAAAATCTATTACAAAAGTACTAAAATTTGCAACAACTAGTAGAATAATTTTCAGAAGTACCGTTTTTGCATGGCTATAATTATTTTTATTAATATATCAATACGCGCAATCTCAATATTATTGAAAGCTACCCCAGATTTAAAAAAAAAACATCAATTTCTGATACTTTGTTACGGAGATATCGTTGGTTTTACAACGCGTAGTCATTTTAAACCTACACGCTCGGAAGTGCGCCAATCGCTCAGCAAGGAAGTGGGCGTGGCCTAATTCAGCGGCTCGCCCCACCACGCGCCGCCAACGGCCTCCTGCGAAAATCACTGTTTTTCGATGCAATTTTAACAGTACTTCTAAACAAGATGGGATTATGAAATTTTAGCATGATGAGTACTAACTCTTGACGAAGAGCAGTGCGTTTGAAAAATGGCCGTAAGTGGTCTTGAAAATTTTTTAGAGCCATTTTTCGAAGGGACCATTTATTCTTCAACACGACGGTTTGCAAAAACTATTAATTGTATTATCTTGAAAAAAGCATATGTTAAGGACTATGAAAGGAACATTGTATCAAATTTTCAGCTCTTCATATCCAAATGGGACTGAGTTATAAATTTTTCAAAAAACGGCCAAATTTGTGGTTTTTTGCAATTTGCAAAAAACTATTTAATGAAATTAATTTCAACAAGGCTACTTTTGTGCAGCTTGGAAAGGCGCACCTTTTTTGTATTCAACTTTTTTTTCCATCTATTACTGTTTTCGATTTATTCGCGATTTAGGTGATTTTGGCACTTTTACCATTTTTTTTGGGCACTTTGCTGACTAATTCAAAGGTTTGTTTTTGGTTGCAGCAATTTCTACCACTTTCATCTTGCTAATCCAATTTTTTATTTGCTTATAGGAATTAATTTTTTTTTCAATGGTGTAAAATCTAATTCTATCAGTCTATCAGGTTCAATCGCCCTATTATTAAATCACGTCTAATTCTTTCTCTTTTAAGTAAAGTTTATACCATCGAATTAAAACCGTAATATTCTGGAATATTTACGTATCCAATTTTTTTTGCGAAACTATTATATTTCATTGGAACCAAGCTGCTAATGCTGTTTCGGAGTTTTCTATAGCTTTAAATATATTATTTTCTCGAAAACCTTTTTTTTGTTTTTTTTTTTTAATATTACTGATAAATTAAATACAGAACGATTAGGTCTACACAGAGAGATCTCTTGTAATCGCCATGCTAATTCCATGAGGCTCAAATAGTGGTCATCTACATACTCTGATATTTCATTAAAGTTTTCTAAATCGTCTTTTTTATCACGCGTATTTATTTTCGTTATTTGCCGTAATGCTCTATATGCTACTTTATAAATATAATCAAAAATATACTTTTTACTTTAAATAGGTGCATTATACTCAACATTACTGTGGCAATTATATTTAGTTAACAAAAACGAATTGTATGATACTGCCATTGAATTATCAACTAAAACTTTTTCATCACTACTTTTGATTCTATGTATGTGATTATCACATCTATTGTCATTTCTTTTGTAATTTGGGTATCCATTTTTGTAAAAACAGTATCATTAGTAATCTTTTTTGGAAACTTTTTTGTACAAATTTTTTGATGACTGGTAAGACGTGGACTATGTTTACCATGAGGTCCAAAAAGCGTGTGCTTCATAACTTATTATCGTAATCGTGAATCAAGTAGAACTACCGCTAAAATATATTTATACATGTCTGTAGCAGTAAATAATTCATTGTTTGGATGCAATGTTACACTAATATGAGAATAAGGCTTTCCTCTTTTTTGAAATTCAATGGTATAAACGTAAGCAATAACTTTTCCGAAAATATTGTGCTTAGTAATATCGTCTAAAATTAATTTTAATTCTGTATGGAATAATTTAACAGTTATATTTAGTATATCTACACTCAGGAAAATTTTTTAAGATTTGCTTTTTTTAAACCATTTAGGGTAACATAAAGCGGTAATAAGAAGATCAGGTCGTCTAAACTTTTGCATTATTACCATTGCATCTTGACAATGTTTTTCTATTGCTTTTCATAACAATACATGCATGCAAACAGAACTGTTGCATTAATTTTCCAACATAGAGTATTGGACTGAAAGTTTTAGTATTTCATCGATAAGAAGTCCGATATAAGTCATTTTGAAGTAACGTAAGACTTTCTGCTTTTTTTAAAAATTTTTGTCTATAA